GATCTCACTCCATTATTTTTAAAGAAACTTCAGTTCACTCTATTTAACTTTATACTTTAGAGAAATGAAACTATTTCCTCATCTCATTTATACCGAAGGAACCGAACTGCAGCTGAGTGGTAGCCCAGCAGCTCGTGACACAGCTGTTTCAGGGCACTGAATAGTCAGCAGAGAAAACCAGAGGCAGGTTTGGGGTGTATGGAGGAAACAGCATTTCTGGTGCTGTTGTGTAGCTGAGAGGTGGAGGATGTGGAAGCTTGTGTCAGTCTGACAGCCACGTGGAGCAGTGCTTCTCTGCAGGGCCTCTGCCTGGGGTGCCATGAGAATGAAATGCTCTGGAAATGCCCACCAAGGTGTTCCTGCTCTGCTGGGTGTGTGCAGACCTGCAGCTCGCTGTGCTGCTTTAGGATCAGAAATGCTTCTTGTGACTCTTCCCTCTCCTGTGGGGACAGCCCTGCTGGGGGGCAGCACATGGGGCAACCAGGAGGGGCTCAGGCAGTGGGCCTTAATGCTGGGCAGAGGAGAATGGCTGGGGTGCTGGGTGCTGTGCTCAGGTCTTTGGCTTTGCAGCTGTTACCTGGGGCATCACAGCCCTGTCAGAACTGGGATTCTGCTCCCTGTGTGGCACAGCAGGTGCCAGGTACAAGTGATGGTGCACATAAGGAGGCATTTCTCTGGTTAACTGCTTGTGAATGTTAACTGCTTGTGCTCTGAGCTGACAGTACTTTGCTTTTTTTTTTTTTTTTTGGTGTTTCAGACTTTATTTTGCTTTTTGTGGTGTACAGAAATGATGAGGGAGGGCTGAAACTTGAGACCAGTGCCTTTGATTTCTTGAGCTGCAACTTCTTAATTGCAATTATTGGTTGGGAAGCTCCTTGTCCATTTTTTCTTTTTCTTCCTTTTGATATCAAGAGGGCAGCTGAATACTGACCTCAGTGTGTGCAGGCGGTACTGGAGATAATTGATTTCTGAAGGTCTTGTCATTTGGATACAGTTTTACCTGCAGGACTGCCACCACGGGTGGTTTGTAGTGCCTGAATGTGCTAAAGCTGAAATCCCCATGTCTGCAAGAGGAGGAGCTGCCGTGGCCCCCCAGTGCTTCTCCATTGGCACAGCTGTGGTGCTGAGATCTACCAGGCAGGGGTTGTGTGCTGCTCTTGAATTGGGAGGGCAGGGAAGGAATGGCCCTGCAGAACCTGGTGGTGTGCACGGCTTTGTGTGCTGCTTGGGACCTTGCACTGCAGTGATGGGTACTTAATTCCTCCTTGAATTCAGGCAGTGCTGCCAGCAAGCAGTGGTAACCTTTCTCAGGGCAGTTTGATTGGAGGGGATTTGTATTGATAGCATGAAAGTGAAGTTACTCCACCATGCCTTAGCTGGGTAATTTATGAGTTTGTTTCTTCTCTGGGTATTCCTCTAGAAAGGCTATTTTTCAGATATCGAGTAAGCTCTGCCATTCAGCAAAGCTTTTACTTGGCCCAGGTATCAAATTAATTTTTATTTTGAATGCTATGCCCATTGTAAAAGGGGATCTCCTGCACAGGAGGTAAAGCAGAGCTCTGTTTTTGACAGGGAATGACAAGCATGTTTTCCTAAATGTGGTGTTTCTGCTCTTTCCTCTGTTTCAACACAAAGTCTTCACAGGAATAAACCCAGTGGAATATGAGTCACTGTAGGAACAAGCACATGGGCAAGGTGGGCCACTGCCTTATAAATGGTACAATTGTAGATACAGAAGTGCAGAGACTGCTCTGGTTGGAAAGCTGGCTGGAAAATAGCAGTCATAAGGTAGAGGGACATTTATATTCACAGAAACCATTAAATATTTTGTATATATTTGCATTTCATTTTCTAACTGCTTTTTGAAATGAAGCTTGCCTCTTCCAGCTATCCATCAATTAGTGTATCACAGAGCTGCTGAGCTCCCTGTGCTGTCATAGTGCTTGTGTGGACAATTTGCAGAGTGAAAACCAAACAGCAAGGCTGAAACTCCCATGGACTTGACTATAGGCTGATAGAAGCATGAATGGATCATGGCATCCACAAACCCAGCTGCGCACAGAGCTTCTGAGGCAAAAACTGACAGTGCTGCAGCATTTGTTGCTCCATTGCTCCCATCGGTGTACCTTGAGATTTCAGCTCGTCCCATTCCCTTGAGATGTGACAGTTCATTCTTCCACCTGTGAAATAAAAAGTGCTGCAGTGAATGTGCCCGTGGGTTGGAGAGGCTTCTCCATTAGTTAAACTGGGTGCAATGGATCACCTCTGTAGTGTCAGAACAGAGCTGGTAAGGGAATGCTTCGGGGGCTTCAAGAATCTCTATCTCTCATGTGGTGATGAGACCAAACCCTTGTAAAGTAGAACAGTAAATATGTGGGTGGGGGAGGAAAAAAAATGTAGCAGAAGGACTAACAGCCTCGAATGGGGCATTGCTGTGCTGTGCACAAGAGGCTCAGTGCTCCCTTCCCTGTGCCTTAACCGCCGGGCTGCTCGGTCCTGTCTGTGCGCCTCTGCTGGGCTGAGCGGTTCCATGTAGCTGAAGCGATACCGGGGCAGAGATGGGTTTGCCAAACCGCTGCTCTCAGGTGCTGAGAAGAGCTGCTCGGTTCCCGAGGCGCTGCCCACCCGGAGCAGCGCTGCAGCGGTCCCAGCCCATGCGTGGAGCAGCCCCGCTCCGTGCGCTCCGCTCGAGGAACCGGGGTGACTCATTCTTCCTGGACACCATCCATCTCGCATGGAAATCGATGAAATTCTTTCTGTTGCGTTTTAACACATGTTCTCAGAGTTACTTTCTGCAGTAAGTCTTCATTAATTTGTTAAATCTAAATGAACTCCTGGTCCTGATGGCTTTCCCTTGGGCTGAGGCGAATGGAGGCAGCGCCGGGAACTCGCCAGGCGCCGTGAAATACTTTCCCGTCCCTGCTTATGATCTACCAACCCGAGGACAGGCGCTCTTTGTGCTCTGCGCATTATTCCACTGGAGCGATCCCCGTGCCTTAAGGCAGAGGGGAAGCTCCGGAGGTGGAAAAACCGGGGGGCTGCGGTGCGCCGTGGGGAGGGGGCGGGGGTTCGGTGGGTCCCCGTGCGTCCCTGTGCCATCCGCTGCTCCCCGGGGGGTCACACCGCACCCTGCTGTTGTCATTCCTCAGCCCCAGTTATGCTCCCAACTGCTTTATTATTATTATTTTTAAGCTGCTTTGTATTAAATTAATAAAAAATGTTCGCGTCCCGTGGGGTCCCTGTTTGCGCCCTTTACGCATCTTTGTAAAAAGGAGCTGCTCGTAAACGAGCTGCCGGCGGCTCTTTGCAGTTCATCGCGTTTGCAAAAGGAGTTCAGCATCCTCGTTTCGCTGGGGTGGCTGCCTTAAGATTGGAGGGTGGGGGGGGGAGCAAAGATCGTGTCGGGTTTTTTTAGGAAGCTTTTGGAAACTCAGCGCTCGCCGAGCTTTGCGGGCTTTGCCGGCCGTCGATTCGTTCCGCTGCCCATGACCGATACCTGCTCGATTTTCAGGTGGATTTGGGGCAGAGAAGCGTTTCCCATGCGCAGAGCTTTGGGAGGGCTTAAAGCAAAAGGAGCGTTTGGAAATGGGGTTGATTTGTGTTGCTGTTTTTTCTTTCTTTCTTTTTTTTTCTGCTTTTCCTGTTTGCTAGCAAAAAAAAAAAAAAAAAAGTGTTCTTAATTATGACTTGGGGGGGATATGCACAAAAAGTCTTCCAGGAAAGTAATTCCAAACAGTGCAAAAAAAAAAAAAAAAAAAAGAAAAAATCTGTATGATGTTCTATTTTAATAATCTTTTTCAGGCGTCTGAGTCGCGCTCTGAAAAAGAAAAATAAAGCTTGCAGGAAAAAGGCACCACCAATACAGCCTTGAAAACAAAATGTGCAAACTTCTGAGAATATGCCCTCGTGTTGAATACACCGGATTTCTCTCCCGAGCAAAGGGGAAGGTTTTGTTCGTTTGGACAGTCTTTGAATACTGTTCTAAAACTTCTTTCAAGTGGGGACTGAAGAGAGAAATGTTAAGTTCTAAGAGGGAGACAATGCGTTAGCATCTTTGAACGCAGCCCCTTGCATGCAAATCAGCCTTTTGGCAATTTGGGGCACTTTAATTGGAAGGTGGCAGCGCGGCAAGATAAGGCTGCGTCCCTCGGAGCGCAGCACTGCCCGGCGTGGGATGGCCGTGCGGGGACCCCCACCAGGGTCCCCCCACCTCAGCGGGGCGGCCTCCGAAAGGCCCTCCTTAATGCAATCCGACGGCTTAAAGTTTCTGTAATTTTCACCTAATTATTTTTTTCTTTTTTTTTTTCCTTTTTTTCTTTTCCCCCCCCCGTTAATGCTTCCCCCCACAGCCCCCAGGGGCACTGTGTCAGGCCGGGCCCAGCCAGCCCTGGATGGCTTTTTCATAGCTGTTGGCTGCGCGCAGACCCTTCTCGGGATTAGTGGTCGGACTCCTCATTTCCCATAGCCATAAAAGGTCTTGAACTCAATTAATAGCTAATAATTATACAGCCGGCGTCAGCGGGGGGAGAGCGTGCGAAGGCTCCGCTGCAGTCCGAAGTGATGGGGGGGCATAAGGGGGGTGTTGGCCGTTACAGCGGGTGGGGCGGGGGCCGCCCGGCGGGCAGCGCCTGAAGTGCTGCCGGGGTTCGGTTCGCTCACCCACCTCTAACCCTACCGCCCCGTAAAGCTTTAATCGAGGAAATATCTTTTGGGGTGCGGGGGCCGCGAGCCCCCCGGAGCGCTGCGCTGCTGCAGCCCCGCAGAGGAAACCGCGGCGGCTCCGCGCCTTCACCTTGAGAAGGGCCGTGCCGCTAAGTGCGAGGGGAAAACCGACGTACCCAGTGTGTTGCCTCGGGCGCAGTGTGCGGGGGCTGAGAAAGCAGTGCGGGGCGCCCCGACCGCTGCCCGCATCGCCCCGCCGCGCAGCGCGCACCGCTGCCCGCCCGCGTTCCTCCCCACGCGTTGCGCGGCCGCGTTCCGACGTCTGAAAGAAATAATCGTTAGGGTTCCTCAAGTTCTCTTTAATGGCCGCGCTCTCCTGGAATAAAGCAAGCTGCTGCGTTTCTTTTACGGCGGCGGTAACAATACGGTTGAAGTTCGATATTCACACGTGAACGTCGCTTTTCTTGTCGTGACTCGTTATTTTCAGACGGGCGATGTTACCTTTCCCCGGCCCTGCAAAGCGCGGCCTCGACCAGCGTAACGAATTCGGAGGAATTTCTGGGGCTGGGAACGGTTTGGGGGGAAAATCCGAAAGGGCCGATTTATACCGCGTGTTTACAGGGCTGGGAGAGCCAGAGCTTCTGCTAGAAATAAGAAGGGCAGCGTCTGCTGAGCGTGTTTCGGTGCAGGGAGAGGTGTTGGTGGGGCAGCGAGCTGCAGGAGAGCGCTGCGCTGCGCGGCTTTTGCGCGCAGATAAATTGAGGGAGTGTGAGAGCGCAAAGCAGCGCGGCTGATGCACAAAACGCGTTTTTCTGTCCTTGTGCTTCCCAGTCATTCTGAAAGGCATCTGAGAATAATAAAAATAAGTAGGAAGAATAAATATAACAAAAGCACTTGAAAAAGGAGCGGGGGAAATTCTTCGGGAAGGAGATCTTGAAGGGTTTAGGGAGGCTGAGGCGGGGTGCGGGGTCGGGGTGCGCTGCCCGCCGCCCCCAGCGCTGTCCTTATCCGCCCCCTTGTGCCCGCAGCACGCAGCCGGGCCCGAAAGGTGATGAAATTCCTTGGCACCGGCGGGGCGAGCGGCTCTTTGATTGCGTGCGTTTAAGGCAGCCCTTAATTACAATGTGGTCGTTGTGTGGGTGCTTCCTCCGCTTATTAATGGCAGATTAGAAAGGGAAAAGCTCCGGGGAAGCGTGTGACATTCTCGGGGCTCGCTGACCCGTCCTGTGCCACGGGCATTTGCGTAGTTTAAAATATTAATTCCTGCTCTAATCTCCCCGCGATGCTGCGCGGAAACAATGAGGAATTTATGCGCAAATCCTCGGGACGGGAGAAGGGTTCCGCTGCGTGTGCGGAGATGCCGCCGAGCCGCGCCGTCCCAACCATTTTAATCTTCTTTAGTGCTTAAACTTGGGCACAACAAGTGGCGAAGGGCCGTGTCCCGATTCTCCCCGCCTCCCCGTGAGCCCGAGGGCCGCTGGGGACGGGGCTGCCCTTAGGATGGGGTTCGCGGTGCCCGTAGCGCATCGCCGCCCCTCCGCAGTTCGTGCGGCGCCCGGTGCTGCAACGGGTGGCAGCGGGGCCGGGAAGCAGACACGGAGCTGCGAACAGCAGCCAGAGGTGGGCTCTGTAGAGCCTTAATACGCGGGTTCCGTTGGCCTCAGCCCTGGGTCGGACCCCTGGCACAGAGGGGAGAAGGGTCCGGGATGCGCTTTTCTGCGCATCGCCCCGCGGGGGTCTCCCAGCGGGGCCGGGCGCTGCGGGCTCCTTGAGGCCACCCGGGCCGGGCCCCTCTCCCTTCCTCCCTCCCTCCCCGCTCATTAATTTCCCATTCTGGGTGGAAGCGCTCCAACAGGTGTAGGCTGCGCCGCTGCGGGATGGGAACGGCTGTGGTTGTGCCCCGAGCCCCGCACTGCGCCCGGTGCCGGCGGGGACGCGCCGCTCGGGGCCGGCACAGCTCTGCCGTCCTCTGCCAGCGCACCTCGCTTAAAAATTCGTTCCCTTCAATTTTTTTTTCTTCGTTTTCTTTTTACCCCTCGCCTCTCAACCCCCCATCGCAGGGACCCCCGCTGCCCCCTCCCCCCCCCCAGCACCGCGGCAGCAGCAAGAAGGAAACAGGAGAACAGAAACGCGAGGGCTCGGCTCGGCCACGCGGCGCCGGGACGCGCGGCGATTTTCGATCTTTCGATCGCTCCTCGGTGCCTTCCTTTGCAGAAGAGTCAAATAAAGCTTTTTTTTTTTTTTTTGGGGGGGGTGGGGGGGTGGGAGGGTGAGTGTCCGCGTACACACAGCCCCGAAAACATTTCTCATCTCTTAAAATACTCGCGAGTGGGTCTCGGTGACGCGCGGCTCTGCTGCGCTCTCATTTACCGCAGGAACTGAACTATTTGCTGTGGAGAATCGGAACTCGGGGGTGCAGGGCTTTGTCCCCAGCACAATTCCCTGCGGGGCCGTATTGAGCCCCGCGCAGATCCGCGGAGCTCGCCGTGTTCCCGGCCCGGGGCTCACGGAGCGCTCACCTGAGCGCGGCGTTCCTTCGGGTCGGGGCCGCCGGGAAAGGGCAGAAATGAACGGGGCAGCGTTTCGAAGCTGCGCTTTTCCCTTCCCCTCGGAGAGAAGCAGCCGCCGAGGTCGCGGGGAGAAATATTTCAGCGAATCGCAGCCACGAGGGATCCCGTTTCCCGGAGCGGCTCGGCTCGGTTTACCCACGCCCGGGTCTCCCCACGCGTTCCGAGGAAGGAACCTCCGCGCACCGCTTCAGCGTTCGGGCGACACGTGGCTGCTCCTTCCCTTCCTCCGGACGCGGGGGTTGCGTTCGGGCTCCCGTTCCGCCGCCGTCCCTCTAACGCGGGCTCCGACACCCGCCGGGCCCTGCGCCGCTCCCAGCCGCAGCCGGAGGTCACTGCGGAGGGGCAGCGCGGCCCCCAGTCCCACCTGCGGCTCCGGGCGCACCCGCGGAGGCTGCGCTCCGGGTTCCCCCGTCGGTGCGCGGCCATCAGCGCGTCCCCGTAGCCCTTTATTTTGGGGAAGCTTGGCGAAGGCGCGCGCTTTCCCTCTCTCCATATTAATCTCATTAAATCCTACCTTTCAACCTTCTTCCGTGACCATCTGACCTGGCCACTTGAATTCAAACAGTGCTTTCTCCGCAGTCAAAGACAGCACATCAATCACCGGGCTATTTACACTTCGCTCCTTTCTTCAAAGAGGAGCTGCCCGCTCTCCCTCCACCTTCCCTTCCGGGGACGACGGGCACCGTTTGGGTTTACTGGTGTTATGATCGTACATCTATATATATTTGGTTTCTCACCCCCCTGTTCTCGGCTGTCCGTGGGTCTCTCGGCTTCCCCCGGCGAGGCAGCGACCGTTCCCTCGGGAGCGCTCCCAGCGGCACCTGGAACGCAGAAGAAAGCGGCACCGGCACCCGCTGTCCCCGGGTGGCCCGGCCCGGTTCGGCCCAGCCCGGCTCGGTTGGGCCTGGGTGGCCCCGGGGCACGGGCAGCAGCACCGCTGCATTCGCTTTGTTTTATTTTATATATATACATAGATATATATATATATATATTCCCGGTCAAAACGCGTCGAAATGAGTGAATAAATTGGGGTAGGAAGAGCTTTACCGCTGAACTCTGCGACGCCGGTAGTTAAAATAAATATCCCCGTACAAAAGAGAGCCGTGCCGGTACGGCACAGAGTGTAAGTTGGTGCTGGTTAGGAGTCAGGAACCCCCCCACGCAGAAAGGGGCAAGAGGAGGAAAAGGGTAAAAAGGGAGAAAATAAACAAACTCGTTGAGAAGTTGCTGTAAATAATCGTTATTATATATCTATGTATATTTCGGATTAAAAAGAAAAGCGCGTTTAAAACGCGTACGAATTCCGAGGAGACACCCGTGAACAAACTCTCGACGGCATTGCTATCAAGTAATAGTAAGAATAGCAGGAATAACAGCGATAATCACCTCGTTCGGGGATGGCACCCGGGTCCGCGGGCACTGTCCGCTCCGAGGGGCGCTGCGCGGAGGGGTCGGAGCGCTGCGCGTCTGTCTTAAAGGGGCAGATCGGGGGAAGGCTGCGCTGGTGCGCGGAGAGAGGAGGGGGCAGAGATAAGTGGTCTGGAGAAGAGGATAGGACAGGGGAAAAAAAAACCAACCACCCCGATGATGATGAATACATTGGAAAGTTTTTTTGGCCCTGGTGAGGGTGTCAGATTGAATGCTCTGTGCGCATGTGCGAAGGTGTCCAAACTGACAATGCTTGGGAGATGAAGATAGTGTGTAGCTGCTTCTGGGCTCAAGGAGGAGGAGAGGAATCCGCAAGCCGACACGATGAGATCCAAGGCGAGGGCGAGAAAACTGCCCAAAAGTAGGTCCTTCCTCTCCCTTCTTCCGCGTACCGCCGCCGCGGGGTTCGGGCAGCGCCGCGCGGAGCCGGGCCGGGGGCTGCGCGCCCACAGCCCCTCTGCGCGCCCGCGGCGGCGGCGGGAGCCGCGCTCTTCGCTCCGGGTGCGCGCAGCCCTGGCGGCCCCGCGCTGCTCCGCGCTGCCCGGGGAGTGGAAGCCGCGGGCACAGGGAGAGCTGCGCGGGGCCGGCGGCCGGGGGAGAAAAGCGAAAGTTAGCTCGAAGTTGACGAAAGGGGATAGCAACTTTTTTTTTTTTTTTTTTTTTTTTTTTTTTTTTTTTTTTTTTTTATTGAGTCGTTCCAAGTCTTGTGAAATAATATTCCTGGCTTTTGAAATAGTGGGCGCTAGAGGTCTGCGTTTGGCATCTGCCTGCGCGATGCAAAGAGACTTAGAGCTGGAGGTGGGGGGGTAATGGGGGGATGAAGGGGGGGGGGAGAGACAGCACAGACAAACGGAAAAGAAAAATAATAATAATAATAAAAAAAGCGGCCCTTCCAGCCTCGGAAACAATTATCCGGGAGGGCGAAGGGAGAGAACGCGTAGCGGGAGCGGCCCCGCGCAGGGCCGGAGCATCGGGCAGCGCTGCGGGCCGGGCCGGGGGAGAAGCGGCGCGGGGGGGGGGGAGGGGAGCGGGGGAGTGTCTTTAATTTTTAATTTTTTAAAATTTACTTGGGGGTGGAATTGCAGCTCGTAAGTCTTGCGCGGCTTTTTTTCCTCCGTCTTCTCCCGGCCCCTCTTTCCTCCTTTCTTTCTTTCGAGTCGTTTCAGGCCGGATTTTCAGCGGAGCGCGGTTTCGGCGGGGAGGAACGGGGCAGAAAACCCCACCGCGGCCGCTCAGTGCCTTCCCCCGGGCCGGGGCCGCCTTCCCGTGCCTTCCTGCCCTTATTCCGTACTTTCTGTTCCCCTCCGGCTCCGCGTTGGGGGGTCCGGGGGTCCCGGAGCTTCCTGGAGCAGCGGGAATAGCGGCGCCGCTCCGCGCGTCTGGAGCTGGCGGTGCCGGTCGGACTCGGCCGAGGGAGCGCAAATCCCGCGCTCAGGTGCGGGCCAGGGGCTGCGGGAGGACCGCGCACCCCGCGCTCGGTTCGGGCTTTCGGCGCTGACGGGCCTCGGAGCAGCGGCCCGACCCCGCTCTCGTCGTGGCCGAAATCACAGCGCAGCCCTCGGCCGAGATTCTGTAGCGCTACGGGGCCGTTTCTCCCTTTCCTTTTCTCATTTATTTTCCCTCTTCTCGCTCGCTCCGTACCCGAGTTCTCTCGCGGCCCGCAGCTCCGCTCTCCGAAACTCTCCGGTCCCGCAGCCCCGAGGCCGCGTCTCACCCCGCGGAGCTTCCCCCGCTCCCACAGCCGCGTGCGTTGTTCCGCAGCCGCGCACTTTCCGCGCCCCAACGAGCGCAGCTCCGCTCGGGGCCGCCCCGCGATCCGCGCTGCGACGCGTGCGGGAAGCGGCAGCGGCGGAACCGCCGGGCTTTGATTTCCTTTTATTTTTACAATAAAGTGGTTTGAAGAACAAGCACTCAAATAATAACATTTTCCATTAAAAAAAAAAAAAAAAAAGAAAGAAAGAAGAAAGAAAAAAAAAAAAGAGAGGGAAAAAAAAGAAAGAAAAGAGAAAGAAAAGAAAAGCCAAATCCTTGTCGCTTGTCGGCTCGAGTTGCGTTGTTTTAAGGAGCAGTTTTCAGAGCGCTGTGCCAGCGAGGTTGAATACAGTGCAATATTATCGACGTTATTTTATTTTAGTTATTACTATGATGATTATTTTCCATTTAAAAAGTTCTTTTCTCTCCTCCCGAAGCCGGCCGGGCTCCATGCGTGCCCGCTGCCCCCGGCCCTCATCTGTGGGCGCCGGGAGCTCCGACCTCGGGCGGGCACTGCGGGACAGGGCCGCTCGGAAGCTCTGATTAACATCAGGTGTTTAATACAATACAAGGCCCAACGGTTTATGGGGTTTCAGCGGAGGATTTTTGAGGGATCACGGTTCCAAACAGTAGCCCGCAGCTAAGGTTTCACTATCCCAGGAGTATTTATTTGCAGAACTGCTGGAACACGGACGCGGGGCTGCGGGTCGCTCCGGGTCGGTACCGATCGCTCCGTGCCCGCACCGCACCGCGATGTACCCGGGGGGGAGCGGCGTGCGGCGGTTGTAGGAAACCCACGGCTACGTTGTAGAATTTCATTTCATTGGACAATATTTTAAGCAGATGTGAAGCTCCTCTGGGACTTCGACTCTATTACCTGACTTGGAAAGGGGTTGAATGTGCGTGTGCGAGCCGGGGTGGGGGTGAGAGGGGAACTCCGGGCGATTCGGAGCCGACTCGCGAGGAGGAAGGCGCAGGTATCGGGGCCGGGAACGGCCTCGGCTCGCTGCGGTGCGCCGGCAGGGCCGGAAAGTCGGGGCAAGGGGCGGCGGTGCGGTGCGATGCGGGGCGGCCACCGCCGGGCTGAGCCCCGCCGCCCCCCGGCCCGGCATGGGTGGCGGTACCGCCGGCCGAGCTGTGACCCCCCCGGCTCGGGGCTCCGTCCGCGGGGCAGTCCCGGAGCTCCCCGTGACGGCGGAGCGAGGCCGGGCGGCAAACATCGGAGCGCGGTGCCGTCCGCACGCCGCCAATTCGTTCCATTTCGACTCTTCGAGCCGGCTTTGCAAAGTACAAACGGGCTCGCAGACCACACGCGGGTGAGCGGTGGTTGCGGTTTAAGTTCAAAATAAACGTTCGTGCCGGAGAAAGGCGGCCGGTGCTCCCGCAGCCCCGTTTGTTTTTTAGCGTCGGGAACGGGACGAAGTTGGAGTCGCAGCGCGAGTTTCAGAGCCGGAGCGGCTCCGTGGGCTGCGGGAGCGCCGCGTCCCTTCCCGGCCGATGGCTGCGGGGCAGCGCGGGGCCGATCCCGCTGCTCACGGAGCGGATTTCTCCGCGTCCAGCGGGCAGCGCCGAGAGCGCGGCGCACACGAAAGACAAAAATATACGGAGCTTTTGGGAGGCTTTTAATTTTGGAGCCTTATTATTATTATTATTATTATTATTACATCTCCGAGGCGTCTGCTTCCTTCACCGCATCTCTCCCCAGATCCGCGGGAGGACACGAGCACGGAATGGGCTCCGGGAGCCGCAATGCCACGGGCAGCGCATCCCGAACGGCCCGGCCCGGCGCTATCTCCACGCCCGCGCAACCCCGCGCAGGTGCGGCCGGACCCGCCGCCGCGCAGCCCCTGCCGCCCGCCCTGCCCCGGATCTGTTCAATTAGGCAATTAAAGAACCCGGGCAGCGAAAGGAGTGTGTGTGTGTGAGTGAGGAGGGGGGGGGGGGGGGGGGGGTTTGATCCGCTAATTACGGTGATGTGTAATTAGCGCTTCAACAAAAATTAGCAAGGATTTAAAATCAGTTTAGTCTTAAAAAAAAAAAAAAAAAAAAAAATTACCCGAATTGTACAAATATAATTTATCGCTTCACCCCCACCTGCCCCCCCTCTTCCCCCCCCCTCCCGCTGTACGTATTTAATTTATTTAAGAAAATGCAGAGGGAATAACTGCATTCCCTTTGGATGGCCGTTGCCGTAGCGTTGTGTCCAAACCCTGCACGGTGCACGGAGTGTCCGTGCAGACACAACTGATGCACCGTAAGAAAGATCTCACAATATATGGTAAAACTGCAGGCGCCGCAGTGGTGAACCTGCAAGGGATGTGCAGCAGAGCAGCGAGCTGCGTGTGACGAACTTAGTTTAGCGACAGGCAGGGCTGCCTTATTTTCAGACTTTGCGTTGGAACTGCGATCGGCAGCAGCAAGGTGGGTTTCTGATCAGCAGAGGTGGTTAAAAACAAGAAGCAGACAGCAAGGCTGCTGTGAGCGTATCTGAGGGCAGAGCCGGGGGTTGCCGTGCTGCGAGCTGCCGGAGCCGAATGGGAGCGAGCGGAGCGCACCTGAGAGCACCAAATCTCCACTCGCTTCTATGCAAAACGCGACGCAGGAGCTTGGGTTTCACAACAGAGCAGCAGTCAGTGTAACTGTGCTCGCTGTAATCGTACCCCGGCTCCGTGTCGGATGTAACCACTCCGTGACCGCCGCTCTGAGCCGCGGCTCCTGCACCTCTCCACCTGCGCTGGGAAATGCCCTCCTGCCCATTGCCGGTGCTGTGCCCCGAGCTGCTGGCAGGGAACGGCCCCGATGAGTGGCAAGTGTTGTTGTTATTGCAGCTCTGATTATTAGGGCTTCTGTGCTTAATAAAAGCTCGGCCCGGTTTAGCGCTGTGCTCGAAGTCCCAGGGAAGTTTGCAGGACTGAATGAGGTGCATCTCACAGGGCCGTGCTGCCTGGCCGGAGCATCGGGCAGAGAAGCTGCACTCTCCAGGCTTCGGCCCTTCTGCTGTGCAATTTGCACTCCCTATTGCAGAGCGATTTTGTTCCCGAGGCCTTTGCTGTAAGGCTGGGTGCTGTGTGCCCTCTGCACGGCTCTGTGCCTGTCCCACCGCTGCGGGACGCCCCGTTCTTTCAGCCCCGTTATTTAAATGATAAACCCGTGCAAATCTGGGCTCTGGCTGCAGGGATCCAAGCGCTGCGTTTCTCATGCCAGCCTCCCAAATGGCATTTTAAATCCTGCAGGGGTAACTCACCAGCACACCGACACATGCACGCACGTTGGTGTCCATCTGCCCTTAGGGATCAGGGCTCCTGAAGGATACGTGTGGACACATTTGTTTCCACTCTCTGCTAACAGCCTGTTGATATGTCAGAACTCTGCAGCATTCCACACCAAAATTGCTGCTGCGTTTTCTGATCCTAAATCTGCTCCCTTTTTTTCTTGTTGTTGTTTTGTGTTGTTTT